TATGTGGGGGTTGGGGTGGGAGCCCTGGGTGGACAGGGGTGCTCTTCTGGGAGATAGTCCTACAGGAGGATCAGATGGGGAGGGGAGATGGACTCCCTGCTGATCCTGGGCACTCTGAGGGGTCTCTGTGGCATTCATAGGCGCTCTGAGGGGGTCTCTGGGGGCACGTGTATCTCCTGACCTGGGACAAAGGGTGTGAGGCCGAGACAGACTTTTTTGGCCTTTCCAGCCTAAATGGAGATTTAAAAATATAAGTGCAGCCCTCGCTGGTTTGGCTCAGTGGATAGAGCGGCAGCCTGCAGACTGAAGGGTCCCCGGTTCCATTCCTGGCCAGGACACACGCCTGAGTGCTGGATCCCCAGTGTGGAGCCAGCAGGAGGCATCTGATCCATGATTCTCTCTCATCACTGATATTTCTCTCTCTCTCTCTCTCCCTTCCTCTCTGAAATCAATAAAAATATTTTTTTAAAAAAAGAATGTTAGGTCTAAGTATCCAGTGCCAAGATCCAGAAACTCTACCTCACAGCCTTGTTTTTCCTCCTGCCTCCTGCTGGAAGGCCTTTTCCTCCAGGCTGCCCTTTAAATGCCCTTCATCCTAATGCAGGTGGTCTGCAGGTGAACGGTGATGCTGAGATGAGTTCGGCAAGCAGGATTGAGCTAAGAGAAGCAGAGGGCTACCGCTCACTCAGGCGTGTAGCAAAACCTCCAAGGCTCTCATGGCTTTTATTTGGGGAGTACAGCAAGTAACAATGGAGTACAGCAAGTGACAATGGTAAACAGGCATGCCTATGAGATCATCTGAGCTAAGTTATACATTAAACTATTAATTTCCTATGTTATACAAAGACCCTTTCCACCTGCAGCAGTGTACCCTCCCTGGCTTTCCATGCCCTCATGGACTATTTATTACCTCAAGGAAATTCTGCCTCTGAACAATAAATCTTGCGTGCAAGACTTTGTTCTGACGTGGTCCGCTTGCAGGCCCCTGCCTTTTCTTGGCAGCAAGTCCTCTTCTAGTTAACTTCATTCCACTTGACCGGCTACACTTAACAAGCCAGCTCAGATGCCCCGCGGCCTGGGAGGCAGGCCCCGGGTGATCCCCACCCCCACCTCGCAGGCTCTCAGAATCCCCCCTGGGAGTCCCCAAGATGCCCATCGCAGGGGATGATTGCAATAGTATGAATCCAAAACTGGTCTCTTCCATTGTTTTCATTGTCCCTCCTTGTACTTTACTTGAATGTCTTTATAGCAACTCTGATGGAACTCTGGCTTCAAGGATGACAAGGATCCTTCTTATTTGTTTTATTTTTGGTTTAATTTTGTTGGTGTTTTTTTTTTAATGTACTTTTATTGATTTCAGAGAGGAAGGGAGAGGGAGATAGAGAGAAACTTCAATGATAACAGAGAACCATGGATCAGCTTCCTCCTCCACGCCCTACGCGGTGGATGGATCCCCCAACCTGGGCATGTGTCCTGACCAGGAATGGAACCGTGACCTCCTGGTTCCTAGGTCGGCCCTCAACCACTGAGCCACACCAGATGGGCAATCTATTTGTTTTTGTTTCTATTGGAGCCCCTTCCATGTGTTTTCACCTACAGTAGGACCATAATAAACATCTGTTGAGCGAGTGATATTGTGTACCTTAATATGTCCTCAGATATGGTTACTCCTTCCTGTAATTTTCTTAAAGGACTGAGTCCAAAAGAAATGCAACAGGCCTGGCTAGAGTGGCTCAATGGTTGAATGTGGACTGTTGAACCAGGAGGTCTGGGTTCAATTCCTGGTCAGGACACATGCCCAGTTGGGGGCTCCATCCCCCATATGGGGCCTGCAGGAGGAAGCTGATTCATAGGTCTCTGTCATCATTGATGTTTCTCTCTCCCTCTCCCTTCCTCTCTGAAGCCAATAAAAATACATTTAAAAAACAACAAATGAAAAAAACAGGCTGAATCTGAGAGTAGTGTGTGTGTAGGTGGGTGTGTTGTGTGTTGTGTGTGTGTGTGAGTATGAAAGAGAGAGAGAGAGAGAGAGAGAGAGAGAGAGAGAGAATTTGCATCAAATACTTTGATCACAGGTCATTGTATATTATAACTAGAGGCCTGGTGCACAACATTCGTGCACTGGGAGAGTAGGGGGCCTTGAGCCTGGCCTGCGTCCTCTCACAGCCCGGGACCCCTCACTCGTTACCGCCCGCCTCCGGTGGAGGTGGGAGAGGCTCCCACCACCGCCACTGTGTTCGCCAGCTGTGAACCTGGCTTCTCTGGCTGAGCAGCACTCCCCCTATGGGAGTGTACTGACCACCAGGGGGCAGTTCCTGCGTTAAGCATCTGCCCCCTGATGGTCAGTGAGCATCATAGCGACTGGTGGTTCTGCCCTTTGGTTGATTTGCATATTAGCCTTTTATTATATAGGATTATTTGTCTTTATTTCTGCAGCTAATTAGGGAAAAAATAAATGGCATTGAAGGCACGAAACTAGATGACCACTTTCTTGACTTAGAAAGGGTAAGAGCATTTCAATGTCAATTGTGTGAAGAACGTGTCTCATCACATTATCTCACTCCTATGTGGAGTCTAAGTAACAAAATAAACTGATGATCAGAGTGGATGCAGAGACAGGGAAGCATGGAACAGAGTGTGGAACCTCGGAGGCAAGGCAGGGGAGGGTGGGTGGTGGGAGGTAATCAGCCAAGGACCTTGTATGTGTCTGTGCATGGCCCAGGGATGCACACAATGGGATGGCGAGGGCTTGGGTCAGTGGGGCAGGGGCGGGCTGGAGGAGGGCAATGAGGGAAAAAGTGACATATGTAATAATTTCTTTTTTTTAATTTTATGAAATCTTTATTGTTCAGATTATTACATTTGTTCCTCTTTTTTTCCCCCATAGCTCCCCTCCACCCAGTTCCCACCCCCCCTCTGCCCCTTACACCCTCCACTGTCCTCATCCATAGGTATACAATTTTTGTCCAGTCTCTTCCCACACCCCCACTCCTCTTTCCCCTCAAGAACTGTCAGTCCACTCCCTTTATATGCCCGTGATTCTATTATATTCACCTGTTGATCAGATTTTTTATTCATTTGATTTTTAGATTCACTTGTTGATAGATAAGTATTTGTTGTTCATAATTTTTATCTTTACCTTTTTCTTCTTCTTCCTTTTCTTAAAGGATACCTTTCACCATTTCATATAATACTGGTTTGGTGGTGATGAACTCCTTTAGCTTTTCCTTATCTGTGAAGCTCTTTATCGGACCTTCAATTCTGAATGATAGCTTTGCTGGATAAAGTAATCTTGGTTGTAGGTTCTTGGCGAGTCTGTATAATATTCTTTATTTCAGTCAGTGTATGCTTAATTTCTAGTTGGTTCTTTATCAGAACATCGAGGGTCTCATTAGATTTCTTGAGGATCTCACTACATTTATTGGCGGTCTCACCAGTCTTTTCGAGGGCCTTATTAAGTTTTTCGGCGGCTGCTAGACAGCTCTTTAAAGACCTTAAAAGTGTGGTTTTGAACTCTAAATCCAACAGTCTGCTTTCCTCCAATTCTGTCGTTTGTGTCCTGTTCCTTTGTCTCGGCATTTTTTATGCTTCGCTGTGTCGATAGAGTGGCTTTCTGTGCTAAGTGTCCCAATTACCTGAGGTAGACACTCTTGGTGCACCCCCCTGTGGTCTTTGTGTGCAGTCTTATTGTAGCTAAGCCTTGATTGTTGTAGGTAACACTGGGAGGTTTTTGATCTCCAGGCCAACTGGCTGTGAGAATCAGCTGTGTCTGCAGTAGGAAAACTTCTGTCCTCTAGGGAGGTGTTAATCTAGCCTTTGCCTGAGGCTATCTCGCAAATGGCTCTGTGCAGCTTGGGGGTGGGACGGGTCCCACGGGATCAACAGGCCGGGCGGAGAGAGAGAGCAGTTATGGCCGCTCTCAGTCCTGTCCCAGGGGCTCTGCCTCTCTGAGTCCCAGCAACCGCTGCAAACCTCGGAGAGAAAGCTGCCTTCGAGTTCCGACCGAAACCAGACAGT